TATTTAATTACAAAAATATCCTTCTTTCCATTGTTTTTAAATTGGGAATTTGGAACTTAAGGTTTCAAGTTTGGCTGCATCTTCTTCTTCTCATTCACTATCATTTTAAGTAAACATCAGCTCTAAGTAATGTTAGGTACTTGAACCACTCGCTTTAGAATTGACACAACCTCATCAAACCTCCTTAGGCTATGGTAAATCATAGCAAATGTGTGCAATCTCATGATGAGATTTAAGTTGGGTTAGGTTTCGACTTAGCACCTCTTGAAAGATTTGGCAACCTAAATGGCATAATCTAGAGCCTTAGTAGGACTCTCACCAAATACAATGGTACTTAATTCTTGGGATTTTAGAGGAGGAGATTTAGGACTTACAAAAATAGCAACATGGATGACTAAACCAAATCTTAGGTCCCAAAAAATGATCGTGAATGAGAATAGAAGGATATTTTTATCACTGAACAAAGATATTAAAATAATACATTTTTATTGTCATGTCATCAACATATATCCAACTTGATTAAAAATAATCCATCACATAAAAAATGAGACCCATGCATGCCAAAATATCAAGACTTAATGAGTTTGAAATGGGTTTCACAAAAATGTGACATGATATGATGTTATCTATTAAATTTAGGCTAATTTATTTTAATAAGAAAGCACGTGGATTGATTTATTTCAATATAAAAGTATATGGGTTTAAAATTTTCAAAAAAAGGTAAAGGGTGAATTTCAAGTAGCTCAAAAAGTACATGAATTGATTTATTTCATGACATAGCCGATTTGAAATAGATTTTACGAAAATATGACTAGTATAATGTCATCCATTAACTTTGGGTTGATTTATTTCAATAAAAAAGTATGTAAATTAATTTATTTCAAAATTTTTTCTAATCTGTACTCTAAGAGTACATGCTAAAGGTATAATTATTAAATATTTTTCTCATTAATTACTATTGAAAAAATAAAAGTTAATCTTTACTTAAGTAAATGTCTAATTAAAATGATCCACACGACACTAGTGATGAAAGCAATGACAATTTTTGTTTTTTAATAATAATTAACGTAAAAAGAGTGCAATAATTACATTTTTAACCTGTGCTCCACCCTTATTTCAATATTAAACTTTGAGGGTGAAAAAATTAAAAAAAAAAGGTTGAGAGATGGATTTCAAGGAGCTCAAAAATTACATGGAATAATATACCATTTTCGCTAATTAAATGCCAAATTTTAAGTCCCTGAACTTTTCATTTTGAGTACCTTTGGTTCCCAAACTTTGTTTAGTACTGCCCATAAGTAATGATGTGGTCATAACTCAATTTATAATAACACTTTTTTTTTTTTATGGTGTGACAATGGCAAGATATTAAATTAACTTATGTGGAGTCATGGTCCCAAAAATAGGGATGGCAATTTCCTCCACGACTTGCGGAGTTTCACGGAGATTCCCGTCATGGGGATGGAGATTCCAAGAATATTCTTCCCTGTGGGACAGGGATGGAGGCATTTTTTTCCCCGTGAAATTTCGTGGGGAATTTCCTCTACCCCTGAGGAACCGTAGGAATCCATATAAAATAAAAAATATATAAATTTATATATATATATTTATAAATATATTAACAATTAATTTTTACTTATTTAACCTAATTAGCTAATCCAATACCAATACAACCTAAATTTCACAATCCATTCTTTTTTCAGTTTTCCCAAACCCAATTGTCAAGTCTAGCTTATTTTTTTTTGTCAATCTAGTCTTCCTAAACCTAATTGCCCAACCCAATTTGCATTGGTAATCCTAGAAGGACTATCCAAAGATTTCAATTTCAAATTTGTGATTCCTTTTCTTCGGTCTCTTATGTGGCTCTACGTTATAACTTTGTTTTTGCTCCTCAATCCTCATCTGTGATTCTCTTCAAACTTTCACCGTCACTACCCATTGTGCAACCACTGCAACGTTGATCTTCTCCCATCTCTCACTCACACTCGACTTGATAGCTCTTCTCCAATCTCTCAACCAGTCACTAATAACTCATTTCTTTTATGCTGTTTTTCTTAATGAACTTATTGCTGGACATGTGTAGCAACAATTTATGTATTTTTTTTCTATGAACTTTGGTTATGACAGTTGCAGTTTATGCTTTTTCTTTTTTATAAACCTTTTGTTGGATTTGTTGGACTTATATGGCAGTTTATGCCTTTTTTCTTTATGAACTTGTTGCTGACTTGCTGGACCTGCTTGACATGTATATATTAGCTGTGTATATTTACTACTTGTTTGTCTTGTTTCAAATTTTTACTTTATATGATTATTTGAACTAGTTTTATTTAATGAATGTGAAAACTAATGGAGTCTAAGCAAACTCATGTTGAGTTTAGTTTTGATTAACAAATAGTGGAGGAGATGATAGTTTTATTTGATGGAAACTCCAAATACCTGCGGGGACCTATCGTTCCCCACGGGTATGAGAATGGAGATTATTTTTGAACCTCCGCCAAAAATCCCCGTGGGGATCCCCGCACCCGCCATTAGCGGAGATGGGGATGGGGAAAGGGTCCGTGCCCCCGTGGGGACCCGTTGCCATCCTTACCCAAAA